TTTTAATTTCTCCTGAAAGTAGATTGTTCTTTTTATTTTGTTCTGTTTTACTGTGAGATTAGCAATTATTGTGATAGATTGAATCAATAAAATCAGCAGTTAAACTTGTTTTAGGTTTTGTGGTTGCTATGGTTATCTTCATGGCCCCACAGGATCCAAATTTGCCTGGTATCAACTCTATTCTTAGGGTGCAAACTGGCTTGCCAGAAGGTTTTCCTCAATACTTCTAGTCTACTTTCAGCATTAGACCTTCCCTATGGGTCTGCTACAAAGAAGGTCTCCCCATTCTTACCCCTTCCCAGCTATTTCCTCTATCTCCCTCGGGCTTAAGGACGAACATTCTCCTGGATCTTGCCATTGCCCAGTGATAGGCAATATCTAATGGTTCCAGTCCTTGATAGTTGTTTATCCTCCCAAAGGTAGAATATTTTTTTCTGTCCCCCTTTCCTAGTAATAGTGGATCTTTACTCATTACCTGGAGGTTAACAGTGTTTGAAGCCCTTCTAGCAGTCTAGGGTCTTTGTTCCTGAGGTTATAAGCAACTAGGGGAAGTTTTAGTCTTTGCTCCCAGTGGCAGCTGTTCCCCTCCTCTGTGCCTGTACCACCAAGGATGGCTTTCTTCTCTCACTCCACTGCCTGCAGTCCTTCTCATCAGCATCTAGTGAAGTCTACGAAGAAAAGCCTAAAAGAGTGTACTTCTATGGTTGTGTAGGGCTTCTTTTTTCTCTCATTGGTCCACCCTAGTTCTTTGTCAATCTCATTTTAAAATTACTTGAATTGCTTCTACTTGCTTGTATGATATCTGGTATAACTTTCTACAACACTCTACCAAAGGTATCCAGTTCTTGCATTCCATGTCTTCTTGAAGATGCCTGTTTTCCCCTAGTTTTCATGCTAGTTTGCTTACCCTGCAATTGCAGGTCTTTGATGGGCTCAGAAAAAGTTCTTTTTTTAGGTTGTCTGGAGTTTTCTTGTTATTGGGGTGAAAGTAACAGTCTTTCCCTAGTATTTGTTGTTTGTAACTTTCCCTAATATTTTTATACTTTTATTGATAAATTATATGCTGTACTACCATGCAAATATATAAATTATAAAACATACCCCAAAATAGAAGTAAAAGAGAATGAGATGGATACCTGGTTTGAATGTGGTGACATCAACGCAGCATTCTCTATTTCTTCCATTTAGAAATCATCTAAAAATAGCAAGGGAAACTGTGCCCCTCTGTGTTTCAAAGACAAACTGCAATGAGGGTGGCTCCTGTCAACAGTTACTACCAGTTTGCTACTGTTGTCAAAAAAAAAAGTGCCAATTTTTTCACCTATATGTATGGATTCTTACTGTGAGAAAGTAAATTTAGTTGTTTTTTGTAATATATAAGCCTTAAAGAAAATTTAAGCAAATGATTACTCAATAAGTCATGTTTACGAAAACAATTTGTTTCCATGACAGCAAAGAAGGGAGTCTTTGAATATTGAAAACAAGTCTTCAAATACTACCCTTGACTTTCCCCTAGAAACCCACCAATTGTCCCAAGAAAAACCAATCTACTTCAGTATAAGTAATAAAAAGAGAACTGGCATTGACGATATTCAAAGATACCATGAGAAAAAGGCAGATAAAAAACAAAATCTATTAACAATGAAGAGCTCTCACAAGAAAGAGTTGACACAATACAGATAACTATGACTGAACATTTGTCATGACTTTTAAAAACTTAAAGCAAGATCATAAAGTAAAAATGCAATAATCAAGGAGAAGAGATAATAAAATGTGAAATTATAGAATCCCATAAATAAGAATAATTTAAAATGTGATTTCATGTAGAAAAATGACAGAAATAGATAACAAGCAAAGAAGACCCAGCATATGCCTAAGTAGGATCCCTGAAGAAAAACTTTAAAATCATGTTGGGGAGGGGGAGTGATGTTAAATATAAATATGCAAATTAGTGTAAAAACATAAATTAAAAAACTAAATTATCAAAATATTTTAATGTATACATTAAATGATTAAAATGTTAAAGATTACTAGTTCATATTGTGTGACAGAGGTGTAGAATATGATCATAACTGATACATGGCCTAGTGAAATTACTGGACATTCAAATGAAGAAATAATTATTTGGGCTGCCTACTCATATAAGTGGTGGAAGAGGCAGAATGGAACTCAAGATGCCCTCAAAGTTCTCAAGAGCAGCCCTAAAAAGCAAAAGATAGTTAAGCAGTACTCATAAGATCTTGTTGGAGAGATCTTACTATAAATCATGGGTTCTATATCCAGCCAAAAGTTTATTCAAGGACAGAGGAAACAGATATACAGTTGAGAATATGCTATATTCTCAGGGATTATTACCATAAGATATTTTTGAGAAAATATATACTACAGGACAAATTTTGGCCAACATACAGAGGACTAGAAGCACAAAGGCACAAACAGTCATAAACTATATTTAACCATAGGATTAAAATTAAAACTGTGCAAATGAACAAATTTGTATGACGTACAAATTATATAAGTAACAAAAAATGAAAAAATATGGGGAAAGAAGGTCTATGGAAGAAGTATGCTGGAATCTTCCGTTACAATATCCATTCAAAGGATGAAATGTCAACTTGATAAACAGAAATCAAACAAAATTTAATAATTCAAAAGTAAATAAACACAAAGGAAGAGTAAATAAATGACTAAAATTAGATGGAGGAGAAGAAATAGATGACTAGAGAGACATTGAAGAAATACCCTGCTTTCATTATTTCTCATTATGAAGAATAGATCCATTCTGTTCCATTGGTCTATATCTGTTTTGGTATCAGTACTATACTGTTTTGATTACTATAGTCTTGTAGTATAGTTTGAAGTTAGGTAGCATGATGCATACAGCTTTGGGTTTTTTGTTTGTTTGTTTTTTGATTAGAATTCTCTTGGCTATGTGGACTCCTTTTTGATTCTAAATGAAGTTTAAGGTGTTTTATTTCCAATTCTGTGAAGTAAGTCAGTGGTAGCTTGATGGGGATAGCACCAAATCTATAAATTACTTTGGGCAGTATGACCATTTTCATAATTTTGATTCTTCCTAACCATGAGCATGGAATGTTGTTTTTCCATCTGTTTGTGTCCTCTCTTATTTCCTTGAGCAGTGATTTGTAGTTCTCCCTGAAGGGGTCCTTCACTCCCTTGCTAGCTGTATTTCTAGGTATTTTTTTCTCTTTGTAGCAATTGTGAATGAGAGTTCACTCATGATTTGGTTCTCTGTTTGTCTGTTATTGGTGTATAGGAATACTTGTGATTTTTGCACATTGATTTTGTATGCTGAGACTTTGCTGAAGTTCCTTATCAGAAGGCTGAAACTGGATCCCTTCCTTACACCTTATACAAAAGTTAACTCCAGATGGATTAAAGATTTAAACATAAGACCTAACACCATAAAAACCCTAGAAGAAAACCTACGCAAACCATTCAGGACATAGGCATAGGCAAGGACTTCATGACTAAAACACCAAAAGCAATGGCAACAAAAGCCAAAATAGACAAATGGGAACTAATTAAACTTAAGAGCTTCTGCACAGCAAAGAAACTATCATTAGAGCGAACAGGCAACCAACAGAATGGTCAAAAAGTTTTTGCAATCTACCCATCTGACAAAGGGCTAATATCTTGAATCTACAAAGAACTTAAACAAATTTACAAGAAAAAAACAAACAACCCCATCGAAAAGTGGGCAAAGTCTATGAACAGACACTTTTCAAAAGAAGACATTTATGTAGCACACAAATATATGAAAAAAGCTCATCATCATCACCGGTCATTAGAGAAATGCAAATCAAAACTGCACTGAGATGCCATCTCATGCCAGTTAGAATGGCAATCATTAAAAAATCTGGAGACAACAGATGCTGGAAAGGATGTGGAGAATTAGGTGCACTATTACATTGTTGGTGGGAGTGTAAATTAGTTCAACAATTGTGGAAGACAGTGTGGCGATTCCTCAAGGATCTAGAAATAGAATTACCATTTGACCTAGCAATCCCATTACTGGGTATATACCCAAAGGATTATATATCATTCTATTATAAAGACATGTGCACATGTATTTTTATTGCAGCACTGTTTACAATAGCAGAGACTTGGAACCAACCCAAATGCCCATCAGTGATAGACTGGATTAAGAAAATGTGGCACATATACACCATGGAATACTATGCAATCATAAAAATGGATGAGTTCATGTCCTTTGTAGGGACATGAATGAATCTGGAAACCATCATTCTCAGCAAACTGACACAAGAACAGAAAACCAAACACCGCATGTTCTCACCCACAAGTGGGTGTTGAACAATGAGAACACATGGAACACAGGGAGTGGAACATCACACACCGGGGCCTGTTGGGGGTTCGGGGGCCTAGAGAAGGGATAGCAGGGGGTAGGGGGGTTGGGGAAGGATAATGTTAGGAGAAATACCTAATGTAGATGATGGGGGGATGGATGCAGCAAACCACCATGGCATGTGTATACCTATGTAACAAAACTGCACATTCTGAACTTAAATAATAATAATAATAATAATAATAAAAGTTATACCAAAACTTTAAAAAAGAAAAGAGTAGATCTGGGATTTTTTTAAATAGAGGACTGAGGGTACTATAAAAGTTTATAGTTGTAATTGATAGAAGGAAGTAATGCAAACCTTAAATGTCAGAAGAACCACGGATACACAACTACAAAGAAGAAAGACACAAATTGTTGAACAATCCTTTAAAATCTTTAAAACATGGAAAATGCAATAAAAACCACAAGACAGAAACAATCTCAAGTATATATGTAATATGAATAAATGTCAATGAACTAAAACATATCTATTGTTTTTAAAAATAAGATTTTCATATTGTATCATATAGCAAAATCCAATTATAGGCTCTATACAAGCAATATTAAAACTAAGTGTTTGGAAAGGTTAAAAATGAAAGACACAGTTAGATTCAAGCCAGACGGTATTAAACTAGACAAGAGTATACTCTATGAAGTTAAAACGCACAAATCACAAAAAGTGAATTAAAAGAGTAGTGCTTTGGTAACTAATTAGATTTTATTTAGAGTGACCCTGTATTCTAGCTTACCATGGATAATTCATGTCTGTTGTCCTGGTTTAATTATTTATAGAATATTCTTTCATACTTAAAGTATACATGTTTAGATGTTAAATCATATGGTCATTTTAGGCTCAATCCAGGAATGCAAGGATGATTCCATATTAGAAAACATATTCACATGAATACATATCAAGTTTTAGCATTTTGCCATCCGCTTCATAAGCATGTCATGCTGTATCATATCCTTCGTATTGTATCTTATACGTCTCTGCTTTTCAGCACTCACTTTCTCTGGCTCATTGTATCACAGCTGTGATATATGTTCCTTTTACAGGGTCCCGTAAAAGGCTTTCTGGAAGATTTAGGCAGACTGCAAAAGAAGTTCTATGCCAAAAATGAACGGTTACTTTGTCCTATCAGGACCTACCTGGTTACAGCTAGGAGTGCAGCCAGTTCAGGCGCCCGTGTACTGAAGACCCTTCGACGCTGGGGTCTAGAGATAGACGAAGCTCTTTTCCTTGCTGGAGCCCCCAAAAGTCCCATCTTGGTGAAGATCCGGCCCCACATCTTCTTTGATGACCACATGTTCCACATTGAAGGGGCACCGAAGTTAGGTCCCGTCGCAGCTTATGGCTTTAATAAAAAGTTCAGTACTTAGGGACAGGGAAGAGAAATAAAGTGGTGACAGTCTGGTATTACAGAAGCCACTTCTTTTGGCTCTCTAGGATAATTATATAGGTATTTCAGAAGATCGACCCTTAAAACTTAGCTTCTTTGGAAAGGTTTTGTTTTGATTTTTTGGAAAACCTTTTGAACCCTTAAGTTACCATCAAACTACTTCTCTTTGAACTACCAGTACTGCTGAATGCCATTGCACCTATCTCTGTATAAGTCATAATGATGGTTCTTTAGGGTAAGTTTAGAACTTGAATATTTGCATGCTTAAGGGACTGTTTTAGAAGCTTATTTAGTTTCATAAAGCACTGCTCATTTTTGGATGTTTGTAGATAACAATGAATTGTTACCCATCAGCATTGTAGAGTAGTGTCTTCAAAGGTAGAATGAGTATGGTTAAGCAGACTCTTGAAAGCTGGAGCTTTGTATTCTGTGACCACCATGTCCAGCTTTTTAACCAATGCAAAATGAGGATTTCACTCTACCTGCATAACAATTTTGATACTGCTCATTTAGAAATAAATCAGGTGGTGGTTCCTCCAGGATACTTTGTAAGACAAGCCTTAAACAGAACCTCCTGAGAAGGGTTCTCTGTAAATTACTTGGTGGATTAAAAGCCTCTGGTTCACAGAGTTTCATATATTTGAAGTCTCTGGCTTTGGGCCTGGCAGGGTGGCCCATCCATATTTGTATGGATTAAAAAAAAAAAAAAAAAAGACCCTATGCTACCACTTTAAAATGTGACTGAAGTGTAGTATCCTGGCCCTTCATTGTCATTCTCTTTTGATTTTGGTTTTGTTTTTCAACAGTTGGTTGATCATTACATATATCATATGTTAGGCACAGTGACCTGGTTATTTTCACATGTTACTTCATTTTCTTATCAAATTAAATGTTTGTGACATAGTATCATTATTACCTTCCTTTTTATCAATGAGGAGCCTAAGATTCCAAAAGATTAGACGGCTTGTCTAAGGATATGGAACTAATGAGTGTTAAGACTAATTAGATTCAAATTCAGATATTCAAAAGTTATAATGATGTCTCTTTCCTTCGTTCTAAATAGAGTTATTACCCATCTGGTACAGATTAATCATTTCATTAAGTTCCATGCGCAAACTACCCAGCAGTTACACTGCAGGTCTAAGGATTCCTCCTCCCTCTTTTCCTCATACTCTCTCCTACTCTACCTCCACCTTCATCTCTATTCCACCTGTACATATGTATTCCACCCCTGACGCTAGCTGAGAAGACCACAGCTGAAACACATCTTCTGATGCTCCCTAATTTGATGTAAACCGGTCCAAACTATATCAGTTGTGACTACGACACTTAGTGAGTACCTACCATTTTCTAGGTGTCCTCCCATGAGAAGACCACGAGAGATACACAGACATAACCCTGTCTTCTAGGCAACTTAAAACCTTAACAATCTGGTCAAGGAAGTCAAATGTACAAACTCAAACAGCCAACACCAGAAGGCTGTTTGTCCTCAGTGCCAGTGAGAGTCACACATGAGGTGAAGGGAGCAGAGATCTTTATAGGCCCGAAGTGGTCAAGAAAGGACTTGAAGTAGCATTTTTCCTTATCTAAAGGCTCTTTTTCCTTATCTGAAGAACCTGCAACGGGTGGAGGATGGGAAGTGGGAGATCACAGTTCCAGAAAGTAAGCACCCTGAGAGCAAAAATGGTGTCCCGTTTTTCCGCAGCTCTAACAGGGAACAGGCAGGGCCAGGCACATGCTGGATAGAGAGGTGGATGAACGAATGAGCCTTTAAAAGTAGCTTGGTATACAGGTAGGAAGTTTGTAGCTTGAAGACGGGTCCCTGTGGCACTAACCCTGATGTTAATGAGGCATTTTACAGTGAACCAAGCACTGTGCTTTCCACCGTTATGTGTAATCGTTCCATGGAGAGGGCAGGGAAGCATTCGTAAATGGGCCTGCTCAGAAGCCTATACTTACAGTAAGCCCAAGCTTCTCCCACTGTACCTCTGCCAGTGTCAAGATCATTTGAGGATGACTTTCTTTTTTTTTAGAGAGGCCAATGTCATAATGTCTTCAGTGATCTCAAAGTGTGGTTCCCAGCTCTGCAGAAGCAGCAGCTCCTGGGAACTTGTTAGAAGTGCCAATTCTCAGGCCCCATCCTGGACCTATTGAATTAGAAGTCCTAATACTGAGGCCCAGGTTTTTTTGTTTTCGTTTTCATTCCCCCACCTCGAACCCTCACCCCAAGTCCTCCAGGTGATTCTGATGTGCGTTAAAGTTTGAGAACTACTCGCCCATTCTATTTCCAACTGATTCATGTTGCTAAATTCTTTGTCTTATCTATGAAAAACAGTCCTACCTCAGACTTCCTCTGGGCAGGGACCATTCTCCAGAAGGTGAGTTGAACTGAATTTACAAGTCCCAGGAGCCCTTAACGGAAAACACGAAATGCCCTGAAGAGCGGCATTTTTAACAGGGCCTGTACAGATATCTGTAATTCAAAGTACTCATCAGGCATTGCCATGGGGAAGGCCGCCCCTACTCTGGGGTTCCAGTACGTATGAACCACAGCAGCCTGAACACTGTACTGGGTACCCAGTCTCCACCATTAGGCTGGGAGGAGGTTCCCCAGCGGGCGCAGGACTCTAGGCGCTGAACTCTCCCAACCAATCAGGAGCCCTCAGAGGGAAACTACAAGTCCCAGTATGCCCCACGCGCACCGTCAGGGGCCGACTCGCCGTGCCCCAGAGTTCTCCGCGTACAGGTGGCCACCTGGATTCCGGGAAGGAGGCGGCGCCGGAATTCCTGTGGAGGGGCCGGTGGGCCCTCGGGCCAGGCGCTGATGGCCGTGGCCACCGCGGCGGCTGTACTGGCCGCCCTGGGCGGGGCGCTCTGGTTGGCGGCCCGGCGGTTCGTAGGGTCCGGGGTCCAGAGGCTGCGCAGAGGCGGCGATCCCGGCCTCATGCACGGGAAGACAGTGCTGATCACTGGGGCGAACAGCGGCCTGGGCCGTGCTACGGCTGCCGAGCTACTACGGCTAGGGGCGCGGGTGATCATGGGCTGCCGGGACCGCGCGCGCGCTGAGGAGGCGGCGGGTCAGCTCCGCCGCGAGCTCCGCCAGGCCGCGGAGTGCGGCTCAGAACCCGGCGTCGGCGGGGCGGGCGAGCTCGTAGTGCGGGAGCTGGACCTCGCCTCGCTGCGCTCGGTGCGCGCCTTCTGCCAGGAGATGCTCCAGGTGTGGGCCTCGGGTAGTGGGGGGCCAGGCTGGGGAGGAGGGCCTGGGAGCGGGGTGGGAGGGGCCTGCGGACCGCGGCTGAGCCGGGAGGGACCGCCCTGGGGTTCGGGGTATGACCTTGGGGACCGCTGAGGCTTAGAGGAGTCCAAAAGCCACTCTGAGGCGGCTGGGAAGCTGCAGGGTTCAGAAGGAAAGAGGAGCTAACTAACTGGGAGGGCTGCCTTCTGTCCTCTAAGGATGTCGCGAAATAAATGGGCCCAAGAGAAAAATATAAGCCAGTTTCTGAACATTTCATTTCGTTATGTGAGGACCGCCCCGGAGACAGATCCATAGCCTCTGGATTGTTTTTCCTGTGTCAGAAGTGAATCTGCACCGAGCTGTGTCTCTAGAACCCCAGAGCACTGGGAGAAGTTGCTAGCCTGGGAGAAGTTGCTAGCCAAGGACCTCAGATCAGTCCTTAGAAAAATATTTCTCTCTCCCCTAGCCTCTGCCCCTTTTCTGCTGGGAAAGGGAGCTCGCTGCTTCCAGTAAACTCAGCACCATCCTTAACGGGACTCTGGTCTGATTTCCAGGTAGAATAAAGCTTGGAACGCAGTGGTCATACTCCAGACAGGGACAGGAATAAAAATAATATAATACCCAGCATTTATTGAAGATCTGTATGTCAGGAGCTTTGCCAAGCATTTCAGATCTTCCTTTTTGTTTTAAATGAAAATAAAGTGTCCTTGCCTATAACTGTCATTGAAGCTGTACAGTAACCCTGTGGAGTAGGCATTATTATCTCCATTTTACAACTCGAAGAAACTGAGGCATAGGAAGGCTAAGCAACTTGCTTGTGGTCTGTCTCCAGAACACTTGCTCTTAACCCCGTTCCTTCCTCCTGCTGCCTGGTAGGGAGGTATGAGGATTTGTTTGTGCAAATGGTAAGTGATTCCACGTAAGTGGATGTTCTCTGTTGAGATTGAGGTAGATGGGTTTCTTGCAGGGGTAACTGGCATTCAGAGGTCATTTGTTCAGAAGAGTGAAATTTAAAATTAGCTGGGACAAGAAAGGTGCCTGTATGACATGGAGTTTCTTGAATATAGAGAACAGGTTCCCAAGTTTTCTCAGTAATTTTCTCATGATGCCCTTAGGCCAGAAGTATTTACCAGCTCATTTATTAAGTAGTTAAGTCCAAACGACTGTAAAGCGAAAAGTTTCTGTTACAGATCTCAATCGATTTACAAAGCTTATTTTGCCAAGGTTAAGGATGCACCCGTGACAGAACTTCAGGAGGTCCTGAGGACGTATGCCCAAGGTGGTCACGGCACAGCTTGGCTTTATACATTTTAGGAAGACGTAAAATTTGTAAGATGTACATTGGTTCTCCTGGAAAAGTGGGACAACTCGAAGTGGGGGCTTCCAGGTCATAGGTAGATGAGAGATAAAAAGTTACATTCTTTGGGGTCTTTGATCAGCCTTTTACTGAATGCACAATTTACATGTGCAGGGGGGATAGAGGAATAATCACTTATGTCTTAGACTGGCTCAGTGAGTTTGCATTTTCACAAAAACAGAAGACTAGAGGCAGAAATCAGATTTGTCTCAGGTGAGCAAAGGCATGACAATTTTGAGTTCTTTTATTTGGCACTTGTGAAGATGAGCTATCCGTTTATTAATAGATTGCCCGGGTGAAATTCAACAACTGTTTTAGGGTAAGTATCTTGAGGAGGCCTATATGGGCAAATTGTGAGGGTGGTATGTAGCTTCTTTTATTTTGTAGCTATCTTAGGAATAAAATGAGAAGCAGGTTTGTCTGAATCAGTTCCCAGCTTGACTTTAACCTTCGCGTTAGTGATTTGGGGCTTTGAGATTTCTTTTCCTTTCACGCAACCTAATATGTAGTTATGTCCTAACAACTTAGTAGCTGTTTGAGAAAATAACATATACTTGAAAGAAAAAATAATTATTTTATTATTAAACAGCCATAATTACTAACAGGAAATGTATGCCTGTCAGTCACTGCACCACTGTCTGAAACCTTGGAATCAGATTGGACACTGCCACCCTCATTTCCTGTTCTGGGTAGATTTTTAGCATTGTTCTTGTTTTTTATTACAACAACTGCTAACAGCTGCTTAAAAGTCAGCTCTACAAAGAAATAATATCATCGAAAGGAATATAGCACAATATAATGTTGAAGCTGTGAACCACCTGTAGCTGGTAGTTTTTGAGGTATTGAGCAAAGTATCAGTGTTTTTCTCAAAAATTAAAATATTCCACAACACCCTGAGAGTTTGCTGCAATGCTGTAGGGCACACTTTGGGAGCTGTTGCAGAACTACAGACTTGGCTTTTTCTTTTTTTATTGTTAGTATTTCATTATTGTGTAACACAGGTTAAATAATACTCATCTATGAGATTTTGAAGCATTAAAAATGGGTCTTTCTGTTCATTAAAATATAGATGGGGCTGGGTGTGCTTCTTTGGCACTGGAGGCAGAACTAATTAAAAAGTGAGGACACAGAGATAACTAAGTTGTCCTTGTTTCTAAGTATTTCTGTTCCTGCCTGGCTCTGAAGTGACTATAATTAGAAAGAAAAAAAAAAAATGGAAATGTAGATTTCCCACAGGTTGGTATTCTTGGTATTTATGTCATTTATCTCCTATAATTTAAAAAATAGTAAATGATAAAATTTTAAAATAACACAAGCCCAGAAAAGAATGATAGCTAAAAAATGATTAATTCAGGAAACTCTTCCAAATGATTAGTGAAAAACAACACTCCTTTCTTTTTCCCATGAGTGAACTCTTGCCTTCTTTTTGAAGTTGACTGTTGGAAAACCCAAAGATGCTTAAACAGGCCAGAATGAGAAATAGTTAATCCTCTGACAGGTGGGCTTTGATAACAGTTGTGAAATGTAACACATTTTTCTTTTTGCTTATACTTGGCAGAAGGGCCAGTGAAATTTGAAATTTGACCTCAAATTAATCATGGGCCATCACAGTGTCTTTACACGTGGAACATGTAGTACATTGCTTTGTCCATCAAAAGAAACAGAGAACAACTGAGAAAAGGCTAGAGAAGACCATCTTACATGATTTAGTGAATAAAAAGACTTACCTATGGGAGCAGTCCAAATGTTAAGACTTTAATCTGGAGCAATACAAAAGCATATGGACAAAGTATAAAATATTGACTGTACAGATCTCCTAAATTAGAGTCCTCCTTATGTAGGATATTTATTACCTATTTAATTTTTTCTTAATATTTAATTATTCATTATAAATACCGATTTATTCATGATGTTCTCTCCAGCATTAAGTTTGCATTTCTGACCCTTTCTATTGCTTTTTCAGTTTTAAGGACATGACTTGAAGTTGTTCCATCCCTGTGGTACCATTTACCCCGAGAGAACTACAGAATAATGCAACCATAAGTTTGCCCTTGGTGTTGATAACTAGTAGCTCTGGGAATAAACTATGCTTACCTGTCTTCTGCTGTATATGGCCTGTCTAGCTTACCTTGCCTCTCTAGCTGTTTTGAAAATCCCAATTAGAAAGCCATGCTAGCTTACTAATTAAGAAAATAGGCCTTGATGT